TTCTAATGCTTTATTTAGGGATGGGATCGAAGGGCGAGATAAGAATCAATCAGGCCAAGAGAGGATACGATATCGCAACCGATGAAGGGCTTGTGTGGTGCAACCCGTAAGTTCAAGTGAAAGAACGGCAAAGCGTGCATTTACTTGAACATGTTATGCCGTCAGGACAATGAACGGATAGCTGTTTTAGGTTTTTCCACGTTGATGCACATCGCTTTGGTTTAAAGCCTTCCGTTGTTGTTCCATTTTTGAAGCTCGCTAATAGTCTCTCCCGTTCCTTGGCAGGTTCTATATGAGCTATGCTCCAGACGAGGAAGGGAATTTTGGTGGTCAGGGAGGCTATGGGTATAAAAGTTTCGAGAAGTTTATCGACGCTATCACTGCCCTCAACGAAGGACAGGTGACTCTCGACCAACTCGACCACCGCGGACTACCAACCCTAAAGAACACTATTGCGACGACTGCAATCTTGCATGCTGGTCGGATCTCCTTAGACGAACAGCGTTTTGTTGAAATCCTGAGGGATGGGGACACATGGACATTAAAGTAGGCTTGGAGGTGGTATTTGCAGCCACATGGGCAGTGTCATGATGTCGTTGCACAAAGCAAAGCCAGCGATACACTAAGAGGGGAGCTGGATCCCGAGCTTAGCCTAGATGCTCTTTGCATAGCCCCCTTCGTGGAGCTTTTCTCTCGTCTGCTTTCTTGGTATTTTCATCGTGTTGATTCCTGTGGAAGGAAGCAAAAGCCTTTGATGGAATACTGAGGCTTACATAAGTGTGGCTGGTGATCCAGTGATCGCGGCTAACTCCGATGACATAATGCAGTTACGCGCCGCATGTGGCTGGTGACGTCTTTATTTCTCTTTCTGTGACTTTTTTATTTTTGATACAAACGACGACGACGACGACAACATCCAGAGTAGCCAAATACTGCGCCTTCTCTCCAAGCCTCATCGTTGACATCAGATACATTCTGGGCGGGTAGCTGACGTTATCTCTTGTTACCCTTCTCAGGCATTCATATTGTACCATGCTATTATTTTTGCCTCCAGTATGAGCTTTCAATCATGCATTAAGGTTGAAGCGTTGAAGAGGGGAGTGATCACTCAAGAAAAGGAGTGACAACGAAGACTTTCATGCATGTTCCCGTACCCCGTACAGGCTTTTGAGGAAACCTAATCATGCCGGAATTGTTCTTGCATACTCCGTACCATCTTTTACTTCTCGGTCCGTCATATGTGAAATAAGAGGTCTCCCAAGCTCCTCCATGGAATATTCAACTTGGCAACAGAGGCGGAGTAATATCCACCTCTTCAGCGGAGAGTTCCTTGGTTGGCAAGCTAGCATATGGGAGAACCAGTTCCATGGGGCTCTCCTCCGCACACAAGCTACGTCAATAGAGCATCAGATAAACACTACGATTCACATGAATTACAAGAGGAGAAAAATCGCTCAGTGACAAGGGAAATTGACATGATAGATCTACAAGTTGGATGAGGGGATGCGTTAGGAAGGCTGATCCTTGTATTCAATATGGAGAGTCCAACCGAGCAACATATCGATTTTAATATATCCCTTCCGAGCCAAAGTACCTTGGCCAGGAAGGGTGGTACACCAATCGAGAGAGCGACTTTTCATCTCCATATAATGATACGCTTTTTAGCCTCCCGCAGGCGCCTTATATGCATCTTGCCTGTGGGCGGACTTTTGGTTTCTTCTTGGGCCCTTCTTGGATTCTTCTTGAATGAAGGGGAAGTACGAGAACAGCCTGAAGTATTTATATCTCAACGGCAAAAGGAAATATCCGCATAGGATGGCCTACCTAAAATGCGAGTTCAAGCGTGTGCCCTGTCACTTTGGCCGGGGGACATTACTCAACTCAGTCTGTTTTAACAATTTAGTGGCTGTCGCAGCCTTTCGTTTTTCTGTCCGGCCCCTGACAGACCTCGAGCGAAAAAGTTAAAGATTTTTTAACTCGTCCAATATTATTGGCCGGCCCACTTCATGCAGTCGCAGAGTTCAAGATGAGATCCATAGACTTCCCGAAACCTCATGCTAACCGCCATGTTGAAACATCCAAAATCTCCCGTCTTTTGACTATGTACGATGAGTTTCCAAACACCAGACAGAACATGATGGCTGACATTGCAACTGCGCCCATCAGCGTGTACGCCGTACGGCCGAGGATTTCAGGATCTCAGGATTTCAAATACAATTGTGCCCTAATCAGCAGGGGCTACCCAAGCCAGGATGCCTTGTTAGTGGCGGTCGTTTGACGCTGGGGCGTCCAAGACTTGCACTGCCTCGCTGGAAACTCTTATCCCCGAACGGCAGGAGATGAATGTCTCCACCGCATGATAACCAAGGGGGGTCTCTGGCGGCAAGCCAAGTCTCTTGACATCGAGCTCCCTCGAGCCCAGCGCGGCTGGGGACATAATCAACATCGCCTTTCCCTTCGTTGTTGAAGGTGTATGTAAAGAGGCTATCTCCCTGGAAGAGTATCCTACCGATCAGACCACCCACCAGCAGCCTATTCCGGGCATTGTTATCTCCCTTTACTTTTACGAGCCCAGCGATAATTATTTACACCTTTTTCTTCCGTTCCGTTACGCCTATATCACGGCCTTTTGTCCTTTTACATGATAGTATCTTTTAACGTCAACCACATTATCGACCTCAACTTTTCCTATGGCGAACAACAACCGGTTGCTCGCCCCAGCTATAACAATAGACACACACGTAAGTACTATAAAAATATCTGCACATTGACATGCGACCTCGACTCTGACGAAGTCATAGTACGACAACGCTACATCCTCCTCAACAGATCCTATTAGCCCTTTAAGCCCTACTGCTGCACAGGAACTATCTCCAGACAGACCGTCATCATCTAACGATGCGAACTCGTTTCTATTCCCCCGAAGCCCAAACTCCTTCGACGGAGAGACTCTTCGGTCAAGAGCAAACTCAGTCAACTCAAACGTAGACACCCTTCGATCACGATCTGGCTCGACAGTTAAACCACTTGGCAGATCAGATGGCGCCGACTACGATGACGTTCCATTATCTGAAGCCTTAAAAGCAGACGAGCGCAATAAGCGGGACTTCGAGGTCGAAAACAACCCGTTCGCATTTTCGCCTGGCCAGCTGAACAAACTGTTAAACCCGAAGTCATTAGCTGCCTTCAAAGCTCTGGGTGGACTGAAGGGGCTCGAGAAAGGCTTGAGAACGGATTTAACAGCTGGTCTATCGCTTGATGAGACGCACCTGGAAGGCTCCATCAGCTTTGAGGAAGCCGTGCAAAGCAGCTCAACAAAACACCAAGACTCTACTGCCTCGACTCCTCAGCCCTCAGTATCTAGCGGCGGGGCACAGTTTACGGACCGCATACGAGTCTTTGATCGCAATAAGCTACCTGAACGGAAAAGCGACAGTTTTTTGGTACTGTTATGGAGAGCTTATAACGATAAAATTATCATTCTTCTTACTGTTGCTGCCGTTGTTTCGCTATCGCTTGGCCTCTATGAAACTTTCAGCGGCGGGAGCAACGTGGACTGGGTTGAAGGAGTTGCAATTTGCGTGGCTATTCTTATTGTCACTATCGTTACTGCGGTTAATGACTGGCAGAAGGAAAGACAGTTCGTCAAACTAAACAAGAAGGTTTGTGTAGCTAATCCTTGACCATTTCTTGACAGCTAACTAACTGTTAATATAGAAAAATGACCGTGAGGTTAAAGCTATTCGTTCGGGAAAATCTATTATGATTTCCATTTTCGACATCACCGTAGGTGATATTCTTCATCTTGAACCTGGCGATGCTATTCCTGCAGATGGTATTTTCCTATCTGGGCATGGTGTGAGATGCGACGAGTCCTCTGCAACTGGAGAGTCAGATCAGATGAAGAAGACAGATGGACACGAAGTTTGGGATCGAATCAACAATGGAACCGCTACGAAGAAGCTGGACCCCTTCATAATCTCTGGCAGCAAAGTTCTTGAAGGTGTTGGAACATACCTTGTTACCAGCGTTGGGCCAAATTCATCCTACGGCAAGATCATGCTTTCACTTCAGACTTCAAATGACCCTACACCACTTCAGGTCAAGCTAGGAAACCTTGCCGACTGGATTGGTGGCCTTGGAATGGCGTAAGTACATCCTACCATGGAACTTGTTACTACTTCTTCTGCATCTAACGTGTTTATAGTGCTGCTGGCACGTTATTCTTTGCGCTGCTCTTTAGATTCTTGGCCCAGCTGCCGGATAATCACCACTCGCCTGCCATGAAAGGCAAAGAATTCTTGGATATTCTCATCGTCGCGGTTACTGTTATCGTTGTTGCAATTCCAGGTATGTCCGCTACATCTATATTCCCTCCTTAGCCATTACTAACTGCTATATCAGAGGGTCTGCCACTCGCCGTCACACTGGCACTTGCATTCGCCACGAGCCGAATGGTCAAGGAAAACAATCTTGTTCGAATTCTTCGTGCTTGTGAAACTATGGGAAATGCCACAGTCATTTGCTCAGATAAAACTGGTACATTAACACAGAACAAAATGACTGTTGTTACAGGAACCTTCGGAATGAGGGACACTTTTGATCGCACCCCTGAAGCTGAGGGCGAGGGTCCATCTGCTGTTACTCAGATGTTCAACGAAGCCTCTACTGCTGCTCGGGATCTAGTGATGAAAAGCATTGCTCTTAACTCTACCGCCTTCGAAGGAGAGGAGAACGGAGAGAAAACATTCATTGGAAGCAAAACCGAAGTGGCTATGCTGCACCTTGCTCAAAGATACCTTGGATTGAGCTTAACTGAGGAACGTGCCAGTGCCGAAATCGTCCAGCTTATTCCCTTTGATTCCGCTCGCAAGTGCATGGGAGTTGTTATTCGTCAGTCAGACGGAACCTTCCGACTACTGGTCAAGGGTGCCGCCGAGATCATGCTCTACCAGTCAAGCCGAGTCATTTCGGGACTCTCTACGTCTCAGCTTGAATCAAATGTTCTCTCATCCAAGGCTAAATCTGAAATCCTTGATATTATCAATTCGTACGCGAAACGTTCCCTGAGATCCATCGGCATGGTTTATAAGGACTTTGAATGTTGGCCACCGCAGGGTGCTAAAACTATGGAAGAGGATAAGTCATGTGCTGAATTTAATGATGTTTTCAACAACATGACTTGGGTTGGTGTTGTTGGTATTCAGGATCCCCTTCGAGACGAAGTTCCTGGCGCCATTCAGAAGTGTAACAAGGCTGGTGTCAGTGTGAAAATGGTTACAGGTTAGTCATCGTGTTATTTTATCTCACCAGAAATGGGGTTGCTAATTGCATACTATAGGTGACAACTTGACCACTGCTGTGGCAATTGCAACAGAATGTGGTATCAAAACTCCTGATGGTGTTGCAATGGAAGGGCCCAAGTTCAGGCAGCTTTCTGACGAGGAAATGGATCGTGTGCTTCCAAACTTGCAAGTCCTGGCCCGTTCCTCGCCTGAAGATAAGCGCATCCTCGTTACCCGCCTTAAACACCTTGGAGAGACTGTGGCAGTGACAGGTGACGGTACCAATGATGGTCCTGCACTTAAGGCTGCTGATGTTGGTTTCTCCATGGGCATTGCCGGAACCGAAGTTGCAAAGGAAGCCAGTTCTATTATCCTTTTGGATGATAATTTCAAGTCTATTGTGACTGCTATCTCCTGGGGAAGAGCTGTAAACGATGCTGTTGCAAAATTTTTGCAGGTTAGTTTCCTTTTACGTTTCTTTCTCTATACACCAATACTGACGGCCACTAGTTCCAAATAACTGTCAACATCACAGCTGTTGTGCTGACCTTCGTCTCATCTCTCGCTAATTCAAAGGGAGAAAGTGTTCTAAATGCCGTTCAGCTTCTTTGGGTTAACCTTATCATGGATACTTTCGCTGCTCTCGCACTGTAAGCGCCACAATAAGCCCCTTCCAATATATTCTTACTAACTTATCATCTAGTGCTACTGATGCTCCTACGGAAAAAATTCTTGATCGCAAACCGTCTCCGAAGTCAGCTCCTCTTTTCACCACTACTATGTGGAAGATGATAATTGGACAAGCCATCTACCAACTCGTTGTGACGCTCGTGCTCTATTTTGCTGGAGCCAAAATTTTTGGATATGATCTCGAGAATGACCCTAGCGGGCTACTTGCTGGTCAAATGGACACAATCGTCTTCAACACCTTCGTTTGGATGCAAATCTTTAACGAGTTTAACAACCGTCGTCTTGACAACAAATTCAATATCTTCGAGGGCATGTTCAAGAACTACTTCTTCTTGGGTATCAATGCCATTATGATCGGTGGCCAAATCATGATCATTTTTGTTGGAGGTGCAGCTATCGGTGTCAAAGCTCTCACCGGAGTTCAATGGGCTATTTGCATCGGAGCCTCTTTGCCTTGTCTCCTATGGGCCGTGATCGTCCGCTGTCTCCCCGACAGACACTTCGAGGTCGTGATGAACATTGTCATTACCAGCTTCAACTTCTTCTGGAAACCCGTGGCAAAGGCTTTCCGTGTCATCTTCACCCCAATAACGAAGGCTTTCCGCCGTGTTTTTGTGCACAAAAAAGGTGAAGCTCAGACAGAAGATCAGCAAGCTGAAGAGTTGAACGAAACGAGGCCACGAGATGAAGAGACCGGTGACATTGAAAAACAAGCAGATACCGCTTCCCCTTTCGTTGCTCCTCCTACCATCGCCCCTCCGCCAATAACCCTCACAGCACCCCCCAGTTAATACGTCTACAGTTCCTTCTTCTATATCTCTAACCTCTACACACCTCTCGACCTACCCCTTAGCGCTTACAGCGTTATGATTGATTGTTTTCTTGGCGGCTCCCATCCCTGCATTTCACGATCGTTTAAACGGCTGTTACATCTGCCTTAGAGGTTCCCCCTCGCGGGCTTTTGCCTTCTCTTGGTTTCTTGCATCTTCGAAGACTGCTCGTTTTCACTGTTTTCTCTCCCCATTTTGATGCATAGCGACGGCGTTCTTTGGGTGACATTAACCCACATATACAGTGTCCCTTAGCCCTATGGGCCGTATACAGACTTAGGCAGTTATATACCAGAATCTCAGGCTCTTTTATCGTCTCTTAATCATTGACCTCTGTGCTTTTCATCCAGATATTTTCGTAGTTCTCGTCATCTAGTTACACCCTTTTCTATGTAGTAGTTATGCTCCTGTGCCGTAGCTACGCATCGCCACACCATTTGATGTCTTGGCACCAACCACAACATCCCGCCTGGCGTCAACTCGCTCCCAAGAGCTGTAGATAGGCAGACATCAAACACACCAAAGACCACCACATTGTTGCTTGACCATTTCTGTCTCCTCCACTCTAGATCCTACTATTATTACCGGCTTATTACGGATACATCCTTGGCCTCCAACCTTTCTGTCCTCGAATTCTCGAAGCCTGCGCCGGACCCCTCCACCTGATACAATAGTTGACGTTTGCTTCTATACCACGGTTCACAATGCCACAGATAACAAACTACAGAACCATTGATATCGACAGCCTTGACCCGGAGTCGCCTGCCAATTTCCCAATTTCTTCTCTACTTCCTTCAAACCTACCGCCGCCAACAACGTCCAGCGCGGCAGCAAGCCTTGCATCACAGATCAGACAGTTGCTTCGATCCGGGGATACAGAAGGAGCTTTACGCCATGTTCTCGATTCCGCTCCGCTAGGTGGCGATGACAGGGCGAAGGAGGTTCATCTTGCTTCCGTTGTGGAGGTTTTACAGGGTATACGGCAGACAGAGATGACAAAAGTACTGGAAGCAGTGTGCAACGGTGAAGGAGGCGCCGAACGGGGGGATTGTCTGATGAAGTACCTGTACGTTGGCATATATTTCCTCCATATGTCCCTCATGTCTCTTCTTTTTAACTGCCTTTAGGTAGCTTAACCCCGTTATTAACATCTTGGTGAACAGATACAAGGGCATGGCTGTGCCGACTAGCAGTGATGCCGGCTCAAAGTCGGTATCTCCACAGAGCACCGGGTTTTCACAAATACAGGGTCGAAATCTTGGAGAAGGCGGTGGTGGCCAACAGATGAGCGTGCTATTGAGTTGGCACGAGAAGCTAGTTGAGATCGTTGGGGTTGGTTCAATTGTACGTGTTATGACTGACAGGAGAACCGTTTAATGGTGCCTTTACGAACAGGTGCCTCTTTTAATAATTGCAGGATACTATGTTGCAACAACTTGATGAATGCTCTACGGGATTGTAATTTAACCAAGCACCGCAGCTCGTTCCTGTAATATCTCCACTGCCCCTTATAGACTATGTGCGATAAAGGTCATGCATAACCATCTTTCTTTCGGTGGAGTAAACATACTGTTTAGAAGACTTTCTTCTATTCTATTCTATATACAAGGTTACAGTGTTGTACACGAGTCAGGCATCTCGGCCTATTCTGACCCAATGATGTCCTTGAGATTAACCTGCCCACTGCCTCTCTCTAACGGTTTTGACTGTCCCTCTCCCTCTTTCCACCCTATCATATATATCAGCCGGAAGGTAGCAGGTATATTGCTTTCACCTTCTTCCGTATGTAAGCTTCTATATATTGCCTCATTCGCCAATAGAACGTCTCTAGAAATTGGCCCAGCTTCTCTTCGCAAGATTGCGTTGCTCTCCCCCATCGCCTGGAGGTCTGACATGAGGGCAAAGGTATCAGGGTATTCCACCACGATATCCTCCACATCGACTGTGAGCAGTTTAAATCCAGCCTTGGTCAGCAATCCGCCAATATCTCGTACGTCAGCAAGCGGAGATACATGAGGGCTTACGCCACCTCTGCGCTCGAGATCTGCTAATTGCAAGGAAGTGCGTAATTCGAATAAAGTGTCCCCTCCAAACATCACGGCCATAAACGGACTATCTGGCTTTAAAATAGAATTTACCTGCGCAAGGAGGGACGGCAGGTCATTTATCCAGTGCATTGATAGAGACGACAGAACGGCATCGAATGTGTTTGGTTCGTAAGGGAGATTCTCAATGCTCGGGATAACCTCACGGGTTATGGATATTTGAGAGTTAAATGGGAGAGATTCATCTCGATAGAGCAGACTTCGGGATTCCTCAATACACGTTATTTTTGATATTCGGTCTGCAACGGTCTCGCCAGTTCCCGTGCTTGCGTCGCCTTCACCATTTGATATTGGGGTAGAAGTTAGGGCTCGAGCTATGTTGCAGCTGTTTGCGCCGAGGTCAAGGACATTTGGAAAATGTCTTTTGATATCCTAACCATTCAAGACCCATAAGCAGACTGTGATATAGTATCAGGAGCGCAATGGTATGCCAGTAACGAAGATAACCCACCAGCAATCTGTCACTCAGTCGCATTGCAACCTCGTCTTTCAGGTAATCAACCTGCCGGCTGGTATCCACATTCTTTGCTGCTCTGTCCTTCTGTAACAATTTTGTTCTTCTATTGAAGACCTCTAGAGTCGGGTTTCCCGGAGTCTGAACGGCATAGGTTCTCGATAGAGGACTGATTCGCCGTAGTAAAGGGCTGCGAAGACATGGGCGGAGAGACATCGTTGATATTATTTCCTCTTTCCTTGACAAGCGTATATCATCAGTTCACTTGCACTGATCATAGTCGTCTCCAGGGCACTTGTCTCGCTGGTGTGCCCGGAGGTAGAGTGAAGCTGCACGTCGCAGCTCTTGATGCAAGCGCGAAATCGTCAACAGAAAAAAAAAAATCGGAGGTGATCTCATCGTCACCAAACGCCAAAATAGCAACGAGCTGATCAACGCGCTCGCAAAATCACATATTACAGCTGGATCTGACTAGATCTCTACATGAGTGAACTAAACGTCTAACCAGGCGCATTTTAAAGGTCATTCTAAGTTACACTGAGGCCGGTCAGTTACTTCTTCATCTTGATCCCGAACGGCCATTGCTGACACCCCTGGATTCTAGCAGAAACAACTTCTATAAATTATGCGATATTGGCTTCTCACGGTACGATAGACCGAATTATACTTGATTATGCTATGACATCTGTTCTTCAACACGGCCTCTCCTTCTTTCGCTCATAATGGCGCGTCCATTCCCATATAACTTCATATCATGCCCCTGCGTCGATAGCCCTCGTCCCACGCCAGCTTCAAACCGGCTCTCTAAGGACCTTTCCAGCCTCAGCCTTAAGGCTTCAGACTCAGACGAAGACGAGCGGACGTTTGACCCGAGGTCACGTCGCGCAAACTACTCCTTATACCCCCCAGAACACCTCCTATATTGCGAAGACTGCCATCAGATAAAATGCGCAAGATGTATAACAGAAGAGATCGTTTGTTGGTATTGTCCCAACTGTCTATTTGAAACTCCAAGCAGCATGGTAAGGAGTGATGGGAACAGGTACGAATTATACCCCTATATAAACACAGGAGCATAGTACTAAGAGCACAATTTGCCTAGATGTGCGCGTAATTGCTTCAATTGTCCCATTTGCACATCTCCATTAACAGTAACAGCCATGAACAATGCGGAGAATGGAGCATCCCAGAGCGGTCCTTGGATCCTATCCTGTAGCTATTGCATGTGGACAAGCCTTGATATCGATATAAAATTCGATAAGCCAACCAATATACGAGCTCAACTACTGTCTCTGAAAAACGGAGCGAACAGAAGACCTTCGGAAGCTAGGGCCTCACAGTTTAAATCACCGCTTGCAAGCTTTGCCTCTACACCTACCCTACCGGAAGAAGAACAAGATGAGAAGTTGGGAAGCCCGATGTCCTTTGATAACAAGCCTGCGTTAGGCCATGATGCCAGATTTACGGCCCTGAAGAATTTCTACCGCACTCAGATTGCTGAAACATCGTCATCACCATCAGATCACTTGATAGGAGGTGACTTTGGTCTATACTCTTCCCCCAATGCGCTGAGCCGTATCATGTCTCTTTACAATACAGGTGTCGGGATGCATGGGAATAATAAAAAGAGCAAATCCAAACCCCCAGTTATGCGTGAAGCTCTCACACAGACAGAGGGGCTGATTGTTCCCACGACTGGATCTGAGGATCATGTAATTGAGAAGATGGCAGCCGAAGGGTGGGATGGGCTGGCGTCGATGGAGCAACAGCAGTTTCAACAGCCTTCCACACGATTTGTTGATGACTTACTACCGCTTCCGGTCCTACTGCGCACAAAGAGGTCCAAACGATGCAAAGCATGCAAGCACATCCTCGTTAAACCGGAAGTCAAACCACAATCTACTAGATTCCGCATTAGACTTATTGCTCTCAGCTACCTGCCGCTTACCTCAATCCGTCCGCTATACCAATCATCAGTTGCTCTTCCGATCAACCTAGAAGCACTTGAGCCCTTAAAACCTATCCAGTTCCTCCTAACTCTCAAAAACCATATGTTTGATCCTATCCGCGTCACGCTCGCAACTCCATCAGTGACTCCAGGGCCCGTTTCTACAAAGGTAACGATTCTATGTCCCCAACTTGAAGTCGGCGCCAATACAGATGTCTGGGATGAGGCTCTCCAGTCCGGGAATATTCCTGATCCGAGATCTTCCCGGCATGGCGGTGCTGAGAGAGTTGCAGAAGCAGGCAAAGTCTGGGACAAGGGACGCAATTGGACCACTGTTGCTATGGAGGTTGTCCCCGGTGCAATTAAGAGTAAAAATAAGCAAGCTCAACAAGATACGGACGACGAAGACCAAGATATAGTTGAGATCCCTGTATTTGTGAGAATTGAATGGGAAGCAGATGGCGGGAACGAAGAATTGGGGTTCCGGTCTGAGAACACCAAGAAAAGCGAGTCAGATACAGTAAAAAGAGAGCTCGCATACTGGATGACACTTGGGATAGGGAGGATTAAGTCTGATGCCTCTTGAAGCGTTTTATTTCGTTGCTAGCATGTTTGGCTAGTACATAGATACCCTGATACATAGTACCCATATGCGAACCGAAAGAGTGATACTTTGTTGACATTGCAATACAACTCCCGTCAGGTCTATGCCATGCCAGGAATACGAGTTCAAGAGTTTCTGATAATAGACGACATTCTTAGCCAAGTTAGATATCTAGACATTGACTGTGTGGCGAGGGTGTAAATCCAGGAAGTTATAGATTCATCAACAGATGTAATGCTCCATACATAGGAAAAAGTCGTTAAGCTTGTATTATTTTCCCTCCAAATAACGACGCCTTCCTTGACTCGATGGAGAGTGATACTTAGTGGTGTACAACGTTTTTTTGTTTTGTAAACATATTCCTCAATTGGGTATTATTCCCAGTGTAGGAGAGGAGAGAAAGAGGCAGCACCGCATCATATCTCCATTTCTTGAATTCATTGAGACTGGTCCCACTCCAAATATCTAGTACTCCGAAGAACCGCTCTGGGGGAACTCAAAAGCAACACCACGACCTGTCAATTTTCGGTAGACCTCGCCATATGCATCGAGGCGGTGGTCCACACCACCACGCTCCTTCTCGTGGAGAACAACCTTCAACAACTTGCTACCGTCCTCCTTTGTTCGAACACGCTTACCAACAATCTCGACTGGGTATACGATATCTGAGAGAATAGCTTCGTGGACAGCGGTGAGGGTACGGGAGCGTGGGCGCTTCTGGGTCTGGCTGGTGCGGGAGGTAGTGGATCGCTTGGGGCGTGGGAGGATGCGTCGAGAAGCAATGATGATGACCTGACGGTCAGAGAATTTCTTCTCAAGTTCCCGGGTGAGACTGTAACTGATATGTTAGCGAGAGTCCCCATACTTGAAGTTACGTAGATGTAGAATTGACGTACCGCTGCTGGATCTTGTGGAATCCCTGGAGAAGAGGGACTGGGACAAAAATCACAATGGCCTTCTTGCCATGGCCAACCTCAACCTGCAATACGACCAACCGTCAGTATGTTTGATTTCCACCTATAACATGTACGAACCCCGGTAGCAGATGAACTGTGCGGATAGCATCCTGAAGCAGGCCGAGAGCATCTCCTGAATTCCCTGAGCTCCCTAACATGCGTATCTCATGCGACAAGACCTCCGGTCCCTTTATTCCATGTTCTCTTTTATATCACCACCATGCTCAGCTCCGCGCTTCAGGAAGTATTCGCCAGTCCACCAATGCACCGAGTACTTGTCCGCCAGGCGGGAAAAATAAGAAGGGCAATGTTCCCCTTACCTCGCGAGCAGACACAAACTGGAGAGGTCGTAGAGCGACCTTCAAGTCGGGGGTGTTGGTCTCCAGGTCGTTGAGAGCGGTAGCCAAAGCCTTCTCGAGGTCGGAAGGACTCTGCCTCGAAGGGCTGTTTGCGGCGATCTTGTTAGCAGCCATGGTGGGCAGACAAATTCAAGAGCGTTGGGACGGTTAATTTGCTGCTCCCTCGTCGTTCGTATGGCGGTGCCGGTGGTGGTTGTCGAAATGGAAGATGCTGAACTTATCTGGCTGCGGCCGTCAGAACTTCGCGAAAGTCACGATTTTTTTTTTTAGACGTTCGCTTTTTCGTGGGGACAAACCCTCGCTTACCGATCGGGTTAGTCAGTCACGTGGTGCATAGGGCAGCCGCTGCCGGAAGCGGACGAGAAGGCAAAAAAGACAACATCGAACGAACGTCACGGCGAGGAAGAAGAGGGAGAAGACACTTGATATCAGAGAATGTAAACTGCTATTAGATGGCCACTGCTCATGGCTGTTGGTTGAGGCTGTCTCTCAGCGGCTATATATGCGCATTACAACTACTTTGTTACGACTACTTAAAGCTCGGCATGTCATACATGTCGCTGGGATCTGTCATGCAGTCTCGTCAGTGGACCGACTACCTCTCAAAATATCCAAGCAGGAGCAGAGATAACTGGGCTTACCTTTGTGGTTCTCGATGATGTACTTTCTTGCGCTTCGAATCTCGTGCTCGAGGGTGGTGAGAAGCTCCTGCTGCCGGATTCTTACCTTTTCATTGCGCCTCGAGCCGCCTAGGACGGCTGCTTTGGCAACGTGGAATCGCGATACCCTGTTGAGCAGCATCATGTCAAACGGAGTAGTGGTAGAGCCCTCTTCCATGTAACAACCGATGGTGATACGGTCAACACGAGGCCTACCGAAGAGTAGTCCCTTGAGCTCTGTTTCATATCCGTGGTAGTTGAAATGGATCGGACGGTCCGCTGTGAACAGCGCGTCAAAAGTTTCATCCGAGAGCGAGTGCGGATGGCTCCTCTCTGAACCAAGAATCATCAGGTCCGTAACATTTACCACTCGGACACGAAGGTCAGGTACCACTTTTCTTAGGATGGCTGCCGCCTGGATGACCTCGAAGGTGACTTCCGTCCCGATGCCGACTAGCACCACGTCTGGATCTAAACCACCATCAGTGCTTGCAAAGCCCCAGGTAGAACCCCCGGCTCGGCAGTGAGTCTCCGCCTCCTCTGCACTCAGGTATATTTGGGTTGGCTGCTTCGACCCGATCATAAGATTGACATAATTCTTAGATTGCAGGCAGTGAGACAGCGTCGAGAGAAAAGTATTTGCGTCTGGAGGCAAATACACTCTGGCAGCATTGGGCTTCAAATTTAAAACCGCAGAGATAAATGATGGATTCTGGTGAGAGAACCCGTTATGCTCCTGGCGTGCCCAGGTGCTTGTCTCGATATAGTTAATGCTAGGCAAAGGGCGGCGCCAATTGGTTTCCATACCCTGTGAAGAACCTTAGCATCTATCCCTCCTTCTTTCGAAGGATGAGAATGGAAGCAAGCAACTGCAGTAAACGTACCATTTTGTTGAACTTCGAGTACTGGACCATCATGGTATGGATGATCCCTAGGAAGCTCTCGTAAGACGGGAATATACCCGTCCGCCCTGTCAAAGTATATCCCTGGAGGAAACCCTGACACATATGCTCGCTTAATACTTCAATTACCCGCCCACCCCGGGCATTAGAAAACTGATCGCATTGAAAATTTCGGCCCGTCTTTTCCAACACGGCACCAAGTTTGTTACTCTCTAGCTCGTCTGGGGAGAAAATCCGCATAGAATGGGGGTTATCCATCAGGATCTGGCCCATAAAATGAGAGATCGTTTTCATGGAACTTTCCTGGGAACCCTTTGAGACTGTGTAACGTCTCCAGTCTGGCATTTTGAGTTTTTCAAAAGTGTCACACACCTCTTTTCGCTGACCCATTCGCTTTGAATCTTCCTTGGGAAGGATCGATTTGATATCGTCAATCACATCTCCACGCTCGTTGAACAGCTCTTCCGGTTTATATGAAGAAAGCCATTCCTGTAACGCTTTGAGCTCTTCTTCGTCCTTCCCAGCTGCTGGCAGCGGTACTTGATGCGCTGCGAAGGAGCCCTCCACAATTTTTCCATGGATGCTCTTTGGTCCTGTCCAACCCTACACATAGAGCCGTTAGCCATCCCACTTGGGCATGTCATGTCATACAAGAGGACCTCGTACTAACTTTGGGGGTTCGCAAGATCAACATTGGCCATCGGGGTTTCATGATTGGGCTTCCAGACCGGGCGGCCTTTTGGATCCTACGGATTTCTGCTAGTGCCCATTCTAACGAGCTATTCAGGTTGGTATCAATATCATCCAAGCCTTCCACGATTCGTGCCTGGTAGCCGAAACCAGAGAACAATGAGACAAGCTCTCTGTCATCCATACACCCGTAGATAGTCCGCTCGCTAATCTTAAATCCATTGAGATGAAGAATCGGCAAGACAGCCCCTGACTCTGCGGGATCGATGTACTTGATACCATTCCAGCTCCTACTTGCAAAATTAGCGAAACATGCTCGACAAAGAAAATAATAGAAATAAATGGAAACTCGTGCGAGCCGTTTCTCAGATCGACTGACGCTGTACACGGGCCGCTCTCGGCCTCCCCATCGCCTACCACAACAGCGGTTATCAGGTCTGGGTTATCCATTACAGACCCAAACGAGACGGCTAGGGCGTATCCAAGTTCGCCACCTTCATGTATGGCTCCGGGTGTCTCCGCATTGATGTGACTGAGAGGAACTTATATTAGCCTTAGTTGCAATGGAAATTAACACCCGCGATACGAGGAGGTTGTGGCTTGAATAACTATTGCCATCTTACCTGGGAAATCCGCCAGTGGTACTGAACTGGGTGATCAACTTGGTGAGCCCGTTGGTATCGTTGGCGTATTTAGGGTAAAACTTTCCCAATGACCCTTCAACCCAGAGTGAGGCGAGGATCGCAGGTGCGCCATGTCCAGGTCCGGTGACAAACAGCATATCCAAGTCATGGCATCGTATCATATAGGTGAGATGGGAATACACGAGATTCAAACCAGGACAGGTGCCCCAGTGGCCTTGCCGACTCTTCTCGTCAGCGAAACAATATCTTGTTTTTTGATATTATTTGCGGATGGCGGCGAGCCTGTTTCAGCGTACGTACCTAGCAGCCGGGGTTTGATATCTTCAGGCTTAACCGGGCGTTTCATGTAGGCATTGCTCTGGAGAAATATCATAGCTTTGTTCCGCAGTATCAAGGTCAGCCACGATCTAATGGCAGCTAACAACCTGGAATTGAAAACTAACCCGCAGCAATGTAGTCCGTAGCTCGACGGAATTTCTCCAACGAACGACGGACCCCGTCGTCCAGCTTGACTGTTTGAAGTCGAACTCTGAGCTCGTCCACCGAGTCTGGTAGCTGTGACGGAGGAGGCCTTGGGTTTGGTTGGTCGATAACCTCGCCTGGCATCTTGATAACTAGTTACGGTGTCTGTGATGCCGGTATAGATATGGTACAATATAGATAGAGCGACAACCCGATACTGATTTATCAAGGCGAGTCTCGATGCAGAATTACTGGAATAACAGAGTAAAATGAATATTTACTTGTCAGGAATCCTTATTGCATGGGTGCATATAAGGAAAACCGCCGCCACAGCCATGGAAGCTTTGTTGACATCATAATGTTGGAGAAAGTAGGACGGATATCCCTGTTCTCCACCAACATTCTGACGTAGCTACGATGAGTAGAGAGCGTTCAGCTAGAAACATAAAATAGAGGCGTAAGACGTGGAGCAGAGGGTAGGAATGAAGGGTCCCAGCTGAGAGATATCGCAGCTCTTGGTCAAATAGCCAGCTCTAGCCATGGGTCGAGTCATCCTCTCCGTCAACGCCGGCAGCTCGTCTGTCAAGGTGAACGTCTACCATCTCAAGAACCCGCCCGTCGAAGTTGCAGCAGCCAGTGTGAGCGGCCTGACAGCGCCGCCGAGCGTCTTCAAGTACGAACATGGCTCAAATCACCAGAAGCACGAGACCGAGGAGGAGATCAAGAGCCCGCAGGATGCGTTCAAGTACATTCTCAAGAGACTCCTGCATGACCAGGAGCTGCAGGTCGTCAGCAGCAACTCTGACTATGCCTATGTTTGCCACAGAGTAGTCCACGGAGGAGATCTAGAAGAGGAGGTTATCATACATGAAAAGACGTTTAACATGAAAAGACGTTTAATTATCTCGAGACGCTGCAAGACCTGGCGCCGCTGTAGGTGTGACCCGTCAATATAGGGGTTCCGGACAATAACTTGCTGACACTAGATCTAGACACAATACATCTGCGCTGGAAATCATCAAGACATGTCTGCAGGAGGTTCCGTCTGCAAAGTCAGTGGCATATTTTGATACCACATTTCACCAATGTCTACCGGATTATATCAAGACATACCCTATAGACCCGGAGGTGGCCAAGTCGAAGATGCTGAGGAAATATGGCTTCCATGGAATCAGCTTCTCCTTCATCTTGCGGTCTGTATCGGAGTTTCTGCACAAACCGGCCTCGGAAACAAGTCTAATCGCACTTCATCTTGGAAGCGGTGCTTCCATCTGTGCTATACAGGACGGTAAATCCATAGAGACTACGTATGTCAAGTGCCCCAATTCCAATCCACATACCCCCCCTTATCCCTTGAGCTGCTATTTTAAAAAAGGAAGTAGATAATATGCAGCCTAGAAATGGAGCCCATGGCTGATATGCATTGCATTGCAGGATGGGCCTCACTCCGCTCTCCGGACTTCCCGGCGCCACAAGGAGCGGAGACATCGATGCAAGGTGGGTTGAGTTGGTCATTGATACCTAGGGCCATGGTGTTTGGCTGACTGGTTCGACAGTCTTGTATTTCATTATACATCAGAGGCCAGCAAGCTAAGCTCTTCGAGTACCAAGGAGATGCATATCAGCAAGGCATGTATCACAAATCCATTTGAACCAGTGACATTATCCTGACAGGCTGCTACAGGCTGAGGAGATTCTCAACAAGAAGTCAGGCTGGAAGGCATTGACCGGAACCACCGACTTCGCTAAGATCGGAACGGACAATCCGCCAACTGAGATGCACAAGTTGGCATTTGACATCTTTCTTGATCGTATTGTTGGGTTTATTGGGAATTACTTCGTCAAGCTGGGTGGAAAGATAGATGCCATTGTCTTTGCAGGGGGTATAGGCGAGCGAAGTGCGCTTCTGAGAAGTTGCATAGCAGAAAAATGCCGATGTATCGGAATTTCTATGGACAGCGAGGCGAATTCCGCTGGTATTCCTAGTGAGGATCAAACCGTGGTAGACATTTCTGAGAAATCTGGTCAGCGGCCTGCTGCTCTAATTTGCCAGACGGATGAAGCGGTAAGCGCAATCTCCTTCACGGTCTTCATATTGTTGCAGGTTACACGAGCTTGCCCTGGCTGGTGCTTGGGCTGATATTTCCCATGGTTAGTTTGAGATGGCATATCGATGCATGAACAAGCCTCCCAGAGAGGAGCCAGCTCATTTCTAACGAGCCACGGCCGTTGTCACACGTCACCGTGCAGGAAGTGCAGGACTCTTAACCGCGGATACCTCGCCCCAGCGGCTCCAGCGGCAGCAATCTTCATCGGATATCATTGAAGCTGGCCTATGTAAAAATACCGGTTTTCACAAAGGTCATCCTACCCTTCAGCTGTCAATGATAACGACTCTTGCTACGGCTGACTCCTAAAACACGATCTTACCCCGTTTGCCGCCATGTTTTCTCGTCGTTGACTGTGTAACTTGTAGCTATCAGGGTCCATCCATTACTTGAACTGCAGAGGCGGATAAGCCACTTTCTTTTTTTTCGTCATTTCCCCCGTTCAGATAATAACTGGTCATCGGAAGAGACAACATGGCTTATTTTGAAACCCGTCAGGACGTTTATCAAAGCCATACGACGACTCGTGGCATATCTGTCAGCCCTCATCCATCGCTATTGAGGGTGCCATCGGGGAATGATAAGGAAGAGGCCGGGTAAAAAAGAAAAATATATTCCTTCGTGAAACGCCCTGCACGGGGAGAATAGCCGTCTCTTCACTTGTCAGTCATGGCAGTTAGCCTTATAGGCGAGAGGCGCCGAGTGGCGGGCTGCTTATATGTATTTATTATTTTGATAGCTTGGTTAGCTACCCCTGAAATACGGGCAGAATCAATACAATTTGCAACGAGAGCTTCTCTGGTCCGGCCTTATGGGTGTTCTCAACAGACGATAATAATAATAATAATAATCAGCCTTCCCTCAACCTTTTTCATGATTGGAGACCGTTATTTCGTCCCCTTTTTTTTTCCAATTTTCTTTCTTTCTCTTTCTTTCTTTTTTTCATCTGGATAACTATTTATTTCGTTAGTCAACTCAACAACGGTTGCCGCGGAACCTGCAGCCTTGGATCCGGGTACGATCTATCATCTGGGCCCTTGGACTCTGCCTTATCCTTTGTGTATACGGATAGAACTCGCTTCCCATCACAATCTAACTGCCGATCTGTATCAAGGGTCATAAAGAAAAGAAGAAAAAGCGACCTTGCATCAAAGCAGGAGTGCGACGTCCCAAAGCAAACCCAGTGCAGCGATACCTCAGGCTGCGGCAGGTTTCTTGACTCAAGGGGGCCCCGGATCCATTATTATCATGTATGTTTCCCGCTGCAAACCAAGCATGCTGCAGGCGCGGATGCATAGTTTAAAGGTGGGAAAAAAAGACATCGTGCGTGCACCTGCATCGATCTTGCATGAACGTGCTAATCAGGGCTCGAGAGGGGCTTTTCTTTTTTTTTTTTTTTTTTTTCATTCGTGAGCAGAGAGTTGCCGTGCATGGCTAGCGATGTGCCTCAATATGTGCCAACAAAGGAGGGGAACAGTAATGAACGGCGCTGTCGAGAGTATTAAACAATGTGTCAGAACAGAGACAAACGAAGTCCTTTTAGGATGCCGAAGAAGGGGAGAACTAGTTAGCTGTCAGTTTCGACTAATCAACCTCTGGCGTATTCAAGGGACTTGCAGTGTGTGGTCAATTGAAAAATGGCTGCAAGTCCTGCTCCGAAGCTGCATGCAATCCATTGACACTTCATGGCGTTTTGTTCCTGTATTTGGGTCACCAGGCATGTTGTAAGACATGACTTGGACCAACAATCTATCAATCCTGCCCTCCAAGCCAGGTATTCTGTTTGAGATCGAAGTGTACTACCATTCGAGATGACCCACCAAATAGCCCCTAAATCTTCCTGATAACCTGCAGTAATACACAGCGTTCAAATTGGAGATTCTCAGATTGATATGGCTGGAAAGGTACTCCGCATACTGTGTACATGGCCGGTCTGTTGCCAGTCAAGCCATGTTTCCCGGGGTATTTATGATTATATCGAAGCTCGTAGTACTCTTTAGTATGTGTATTTTCTCATAAGCCGTTGCCATGGTTATATGATATTAAAACATAGCTAAGGCTAGGGGAAATACACAAAATACTGTATCATGCGATGCTTGAGATTTTACACCAAAGAGGAGAGGGAATCAGGATTTATCTGAGGAAACAGCTTGTCGGCCAGGTGTTCAGGAGTCGCATGATAGGGAATTCAACGCAAATGAGACGTCAGCTGCTCATTTTTAGCTGAGGCTGTATGTGGCCGCCCCTTGATATTAATTTCTCCTAACAATCTGGCTAGCTATCGCAGAATTGAATAGTAAGCCAATGCCCTGCTGGACGGATATGACCGAGATATCAATATACAGATCTGCTCTCTTGTTGATATCAAGTTTCCTCTTCCCTAAAGAGGCACCTGGACAAACAGCCAGCAGCCAGGACTTGAAGACTGGTATTTCGATCGATCTCTTTTCCCTGTTGATAGCTGCAGGGGAAATCAACAGGTCAGCATGAAAACATATCTAGAAAGACCAATTAACTACTAGGAGTAACGAGGGTATTTGTTTTATCCTTGCCCTATGCCCTAGTACTCCGTACCTGTTTCTTTCTCGCTGCTAACTATCTGAGGCTGCAGGTTTTGGTGGGAAATCAGGGGGGGGGGCCATTCATCAGCTTTACAAATCCCCCGTATATTACTCCTAGACCAGGAGACATCGGGAAGAAAAAGAAAGACACTGACGGAAAGAAGGAAAGAGGCCAAAAAGGAAAAAAAAAAATCGATACAGCCACTTGGAATTGATGTCATAGCTGGCGTCTTCTTCAAGAAACGAAAAATACATGTTCTCTCGCCCCCGGCCGGAGATTAGGACAGCCGCAGATGAGACCGGTCATCTTTGATAGTATCGAATTCTGAGCTCCATGGAAAACATCATTCGAGACGCGGAGGCATGGCGCGAGATCGTAAGGAGCACGCTCTCTGCTTTCAAAGGCAGGAAGAAGAAGAAACAGATATTTCAGCGGAAAAAGAAACTTTTAGGACTATTCTTTACGGTTTCGGGCCTGCTCCGCGGTTTCCAGTTGATTGGAATCTACAGCGTTTGGATCTTTGAGGATTATCCACCCGCCGGGAAGGGAGACGCACTTCCGCTGCCGCTGGGGAGCTGGTGGATATATAGCGGGTGCAGTATACATGTGCTAACTATATATATAAGCATGCCCTTGACGGTCCTCCATAGGCTGATATCAACTCGAGGGCACGCCTGGAGTATAAAAGTTGCAAAAAAAAAAAAAAAAAAAGACGGACTTATATTCAGGACTGGATGATATTATGATAGATACGTGCCAGCCGATCGCATTGCAGAGAGATCACATCGCTATACGAGACCCAAGCAGTTCCTATAGGGGAGAAAAACTAGTGGAGGGGATCATCTCAGATCATTGAAGACGTGGAAGTGGGCTTCCGCAAGCCATTGGCTGGCCGGTGGATAAGATATTGGAAAGAGGTGGTGCAGCAGAGGCAGCGAGGCGCTGGAAAAATGAGCTGGTTGGCCATGCAAACACCGAGCAATCGCTGTCCCGGGGACCCAGCATTCAGGTCCCTGGGAGCCGGAAGCGCTATCGTATACGCCGCCGCAAGCCAGTACGTGGTCCTCCTGTGGCCTGTGTCCAGCAGCAGCAGCAGTGGGAAAGCCTTCGACTGGGCATCAATCAACCTGGCAGTCTGGTTTGCGATATCGATAGGACCGGGGGATGAGTGGGGGGAATCCATAAGCCTTGGACGCACGACGACCATAGGGGATCAGTGGATGTTAAGGCTGCGTTTTCGTGTAGCTGCTGCATGATAAGAGGACGTTCTCGCCCAACGCAAAGCAGCGTCACTGACGCCAATCTCCATGGGGGGAAGGACAACTCAGCAGCCAGCCATGCTGCTAGGTGAATACGTGGTGGGATCAATCGCCCATGAAGCGCATGCAACTTCGCCGTTTGTTTGGCTTAGGCTCAAACACGTACCTTGCAGAAATCAAATGACAACCAGGCCTCAGCAGACCAGGGCTGTTCGCAAGCCACCAACGTCTGGCCTGTCTGGGCGCGAGGGTGAGGCTCTTCTGCAAAAATCAAGCTGCAGCTCCCAAGTAATGGCCCTGTTTTTCACCTGGGTTAGCTGATATTATTAAGTCGAGCTGGTGCTTAAGTAACTTACTACGGAGTACTAACGGGGGCGAATCGACTTCGTTCGTGTCGACCTGCCCGCCCTGTCGATTCGGAGCAATATCGCAAACAGGTCATCAAGATGAAACCAAGGGCCGGAATCCACCAATCCGACAACGTTGAAGCCGGCTGCATGGAAAAGGGAGCCCCTTTTTTTATACGCAACTTCCGGGCCGTCAGTTGATCCACAGCCGCCCCCATCTCACCCTGAAGGATAAAAGGCCCTAGGGTGAAATGATATGAGCTAATGGGCTGTTAACAGAGCACAGGGCTTGGGCGTCCCTTAGAATGGTTTGTGGCTCTCGGTTTAACTGCTGCCCCCCTCTCTTGAGACGGCACAAGATTGGGGAAGACGTCTTCTAGAAGAAGCCCTCCCTCGGCGATCGTGGGGAGGTTGATGCCGCCTGGGGGGTGGCCATGATCTCCCACTCCCCAACGAGGATCAGAGATCTTCTCGTCCTACGGAGTACAGCAAGACAACATGTGTACAGAGAGTAGTGCGCGCTGCATTCCCATAGTGCGTGAATTTGGCTTTCTCGCCTTCTTCGATGTGGATTCCAGAGCCGTTCCAAAATCCTGGGTGACGGTATTTGGTTGAACGCCTCTCGAGAGGAGCTAAGTGGAGGCAATGTACATCAATTGGTGCACTATTCCACAATTATTCCATACAAGAGGCGAAAGGGCTCTGCCTCTAGTTGAGCCAAAACCAAGCCAAAAAGCAAAGGGAGGGGGAGGAATAAGGAAAAGAAAAGATGGTAACTAAGGGTACGAAAAAAAAGCACTCTGACGCCCTCTCACACTCACAAACCACCACCGGCCTTGGAGGAATACGATACGGTGGGAGGGGTTTTACCTGGCTGGTGGTATCAATATTGAATGGAGGATATCAACGTATAATTTTTGAGGGCTTGGGGGTTGACTTCTGGCCCGGAGCGAAGACACAAAACGGCACTAGTGAAGGCCCAGGGATGGGATGGATGGACTCGTTCATTATTCTTTTTTAACCAACATTTTGTGTTCCATTTTGACAATCACCCGGCCGTTGCGTAAGGAGAGGAGCAACTGTGCTGTTCTCCCCCCTGTCTACGATTAAGCAAAGTGCCCGGCTGCAGGGGACAATCGTGAGTATACCTTCCCCTTGCGCGTGAGGGAAAAAAATAAAAATAAAAAATAAAAATAAAAAAAAACAACGTATCCACCATTTGATCCGCTTCCCGTAAGGCGTGCAACGTGGGATGGCAGAGTACTTAAGAGCTGGACCAGCGGAATCGGTTCGTTGAGCGATTAGTGAGAGGGGAGCTTCCGAGACGCGGATGGGGGTTGCTTTCTATTTTGTCTCCACAGCCAGGCATGCTGAAAGATTGGACATTTATATGATTAGCGTGCCCTGATGGCTTCCAGCATGCTCTAGCGGCGTTTATTCGTTGGGGGTTCCGCGGGATAACCTGTCAGAAGGGATTGAGTCAATCAGAAGATAGAGAAGTCAATATAGGAGGAATTGAGAACCGCAGAAAGCCCACCTGCTGCGGTCAGAAATCCGCCCAGAGCCACTCAACGGCTTCAATCGTCCGGATGCCCGCTTCACAGCCCTAATCGAAATTCTGGAATGTTACTATGCATGGTGTACAGAGCGGTGCAGCCAACGAAGAGGGATGCCTTCACACCCTCACCTCCCAGCAGGAAGCAGCTCCCTCTCGCAGGAGAGTACGAAGACAAGCTCGTTCTCGTACCCGAGGCACCAGGAACCCGTCACAGTCACACTCGTGAAGCTGGCTTCCTTTGTCCCTCCCCCCTTTTTTTACCCTTTTCCATGCCGCGTTCGCGTCCAGGGGGGCCCACAACCGGCGTCTATAACAGACGATGAATGACGAGCCCTGTGGGGAAGATTAGCATCGCACCATGAGAGAAGAGGCGAGGTTTCGAAGTTAAGCATATAGCCGTTCATAACGCAACTATAATATAATAACGGCTTACCTGAGAAATATAATAATATAATGAAGAATCAGGAAAAGGAATCATAATTAAATACAGACCCTCTTGCATGTATCATGTTGGACCACAGCGGGAATGGGTGTATGCAGTATCCACGTGTGTATTCTCCCGGTGTTCCTATTTTTTTTTTTTTCCCGTACGATTGAGATTCAGAGACGATGAGCTGGACGTTAGCCTGCGTCTGACCGAAGGACACGAACGACTCATAACTCATATCTCGGTCTAGGCGAAGGTAATTTCGCGGTCTTCGTATTTCCGTGGGAGCGTTAAGGGGGGTTGATATGTCTTCCCACGCAAGTTTGACAAGGGCTCCCCTTGGGGGTTCCTCGTAAGCTGCAAGCTAAATAAAAATAAAAATAAAAAAATTCATCAACCCTGGCAGGGCAGGGCCGACGAATGACACATGTCCTTTGTACTATAAAGCGGGCGGAATTGCCATCGAGCCGTTACACTACCGCAGCGGGCCCGCTCCTTTACATACTTATTCCGGTGGTGTTATTCGCAGGGGGTCCAGGTTCTGTTCCTGCATGGTCCCTCAACCTCCAGAACTTCAAATGCTCACTTCCCATCGGCTGTGTGTGTTGGTTGTCGGTTTTCTGATTCCTCCAGGATGCAACGCTGCTCCTATCCAGCTCAAACGGTCGACTTCAAAACCGTTGGTGATCGATGGTTCCGTTTGTAACGGCGCTCGTCCAGCCATTGGGTGATAAACTGCCGATAGACGGCAAGGAAATATGTATATATGTAGAGAACAAAAAGAAATACCGTCCCAAGCACGACTGGTGCTGGGTTATGGGAAGCAAGGATTTCGACCTCGACCAAGTTTATCTGGCAAGCCCTCCTGCACGGTAAAATATCTGTCAAAGTGTAGCAGCTTTGGTAGAAAAAATGTGTCAATATCCGCCATGGCATGTTGCAGAGATCTTCTTTTGGGGGATCCTCAGCTGGCATGATGCTCGATAGTCTGCATTATTGCAATCGTCACCGTACATTAATGATTCAAGTAAGCTGGATTGGCGTCAGTCTGGTGTCTAGTCGGTATTTGGCCACCGATCTTGTTCTGCAGTAGCTTGCATCGCTTCAGCCAGCAACCTAAAAGGAAATTAAGAACGGTGGCCATCTTTCCCTTCGCTCTCCTGCCCCCCCCCCCCCCAACTCTCACCACGCACTGATGGGCGGGTGTGTGACCCCATAACTTGACCTATAACCCCTACGCCATCGTAGTACATGTCCTGTGCTAGGTAGGCTATCAGCGGGAATAAACAAAAAAAAGAGCTGTCGTCTGAAGCAGTCCTTTGGACAGCAGGCCCATCGAATAGCACGCCCAGGCAGCAACTATCGACCTAGTCACAGAGGTTTGAAGTTGGGACCCAGAGATTAGGTTGAGCAGAGAACTAGCCGTTTGCTCGATGATCTGGACCAGATAAAATGAGTAGAAATGGAAGCCAACGGGAGACTTCTGCCTCTGTACGGAGCGCGCTAGTTGCAGCTGCGGCAAGCCAGCTTCTAGACCAACCGTCCTCCTCGAACTTCTAGACTTTCTCTCGGGCTCTCTTCTCCGTTCTGCATATATATATGTACCAAGGCGAGGAGCGAGAGACAGGACAGGCCGGCTAAGAGAGACAATAATAGGTGGTCTGTCCATGCTGCAGGTTATCTGTCGAGTGGCTAGAGGCAGGCCTGCTAGTGCTTTCGAGACAAGATGATATATCGGATTTCTTTAGCATGATCCGTCAGGAGATCGGCGTAAAGGCGAAGAAGATGACTGATCGCTACACCCTTCCCGTGGTTGGGGTTGAGTGCTGCCGAACCAGTTTGTATAACGATGTGCCTCTCTCCCGCCACACCCACAAGCCTCAGTCCAGGACTGCACATCCGGCTATACAATCCTCATCTGGGCTGGGACAGGTTTCCCTCTTCTTGGGGGGGTGGAAGCATCCCTGGCCGAAGGAAGCGAGCGCGCAACCAGGACGGAGCTGTGGCTGGAACTGCTGCAGCCGCAACGGACAGAAGTGAGGCGCACCGTGGAACTTCTAGGGCGAGATCGAAATCGCAAACCGGTTCTTCTTTGTGTGCGGCCCGAGTTGTTCTATCTGCAAGATGGCGAGCTAAAGATGTGTATGCGTTGAGTACGAATATCTCAGCTCCTGTTGCAAGGAGTTAACGAGCTGCCTGTTTCTGACGGCGTATCCCTCCCGAAACAGCTCGATTTCTCTTTTGAAACCGACGAGCCAGCCAGGGGCAGCAGAAGCGCCTGGGATCCAGTGGAGCAGGGCCAATGATAGACTGCTACTCCGTATGCTCCGTTCTCTGGGAGAAGCTTTGTAAATTTTCAACTCTGTATACTTCGTGTTATAGGAGTACTTTTTTCGAATATATGTAAGGTAAATAAAGTAGCGACTGGTAAACTCACCCGGCACCAGAACCAAGGGTCGAGTAGAGTTAGCCAGGGCCCTCTCTGACAGGGAGCTCCAGCGATAGTTATCCACTCCGGCCTCTAGCAGCTGTCGAGCTGTCTGTTTCCTAGCCACTTCTCGCGTGAGCTCTTGCTCCCTCTGCGGGTCGAGACACAGCGCGGTTCCAAAGCTGACGACCACCCGGCCAGATATCAAATTATCAAATAAGTAATACGCAAGATCTAAGCTGGAGGAGAGGAGGACGAAGCAGACGAAGCAGAAGCAACGGGCTGACGTCCCTCTGCTTCCTCCGTCGCCCGTCCGCGCCGCTGAAACCAACCCTGTCTGTCCTAGGCATCCACGGCATGTAATTTGGATACTGACCTAGGCGTTGGCCTCTCTGCTCCAAGCCGAACCCGCCGGTAAGGTAGAGATGCAGCGAGGCAAGGCACAATCTCAGGCAAGTAAACGGTGCACACGTCCGCCCATTCGCCTCTCTTTTTGCGTTTATCTTCTTATGCTGTCGATAATCCTGCTGGACAGAGCCTATCATGAAGCAGAGAAAAGCGCAGGAAATCCTGCATGGGCATTGAAGTTATTTTTTTTTTTTTTATTTTTTTTTTTTTTATTTATCTTCAAAAAAAAAACCCCCCCTTGCTTGCTCCAGCATCTCTGTCGGAAGAGTCGTGTTTCATCTTCTTCATCAGCCCCTTTTTTGCAATTTCACACTTTTTTTTTTTTTTCTAAACCTGACTCTCGCCATCTGTTTCTTCTGATGGAGAGAGAGAGGGTAAAGTAAAGTCCAGAGCAGAGTATATGCACCCGAATATGCATCTTCCTGCGTGAGAGTAGGCTGCTGCGAGAGCTCGTCACAGAAAGCTTTTCTTCTTCCCTCCATGCAGGCTCGCTCTGACTCTGGCTTGACTTGATGGACTGGACTGACTCAATAAGCGGGCCGGCGAGAAACAGTTCTGGCCATAACGCCGATTCTGAGAGATGGGCTGGCATGGATGGCTGCTGCAGTTGCTTTTCCATCTTGTCACCTTCCGTCTCCCTGTCCGTACTATACGGATACTCTGTACTCCGTCCTCTGTAGCCTCCGTCTCTGTCTCTGTCTCTGTCTCTGTCTCTTCTTCTTCTGCTGGCTGCTTCGAACGCTTCTTCTCTTCATTTCTTTTCTCTCCAAGGCAGCACAAAGAAGCAAAAGAGAAGCCAGACTGAAAAAGCAAAGAAGCGGCCAATTTGCAGTCTAAGGAGAAGGTTAGCAAAAAAAAAAAAAAAAAAAAAAAAAAAAAA